ATCAAGTAGTGCCTCGGGTTTTGTTTAACCTTTACTGATTCAGTCCCACTAAACAAACCTTTCACAAACATTCAAATTTTGCCATGGTATGTTCTCCAGGTCTACATACAACGAAATACCTTGACTGTAAGCAAGATGAGGAAGTACATTCCTTTGCTATGCATGTAGTTCAACCTGAATCAGTTGGAGGAGATAAACATACCTGACCTAAATTACTCAATAAAGGTCCTTGTGATTACACATTAATTCAATGATCTCACCATCAGGAACTGTAATGAAAAGTTTCAAAAACTGCATGGCTTCCATTAATGTAACAGTGATACATATGTTGCCTTTTGATCTTACATACTGGTGTATCAAGCTACTGTGTGATTATACCTTATACTCACAGTGGTAAGTGAAGCAACCATATAAATTGTATTTAGTTTGTGCATATTTAACAGCATGACATGGGTCATGTAACAATTGACTTCATTTCAGGAAGTTGTGAAATGATACTGATAATATCATATTAATGACGAAGGTATTCAGTGCATTTGTACACTAAATTATTGACATCCAGCACCACAGCCGGTTTATTGTTCTTAAAAATTGTATTTGTACACTCAATGCATTTGTATGCAATAGTTGCTGAGAGAACTATGCTGGTGTACTTGTACATCCAAAGTTTGGATGTGTGCCTGGTTCAACACCCACAGCAAATTAGTTGGGAATGTATGATGGCTGTGTCCAAGACATCCTCAGTTGTGCTAAGCAGCCTTAAGATTAATGCCAGCAAACTAGCATGTGCCCACTAACATTCAAAATGCTATTTGAGTGTGGGATACAAGCCCTTCTGAGTGGGTTCAATCTACCACATAGAATCTAAATTTTACCACCTCCATGACAATAATCTCCATGTGATGTCTTCTGTACCTCCATGCAACTACTCATGTTTCACAACACACAGTTATGTGTCAGCAAGCAGGACCAGATTACTCCATTTATGAACAAACAACTGTATGTGTTTTGGATGTTCAACAAAAGTATAATTGTTTCTGATAGTGGTAAATGTCCAACATCCACCAATGTTACTTAAAACCAGAGATGCCAACTCTAATCTACCCCAATTAGTATCGTGGCTGAAAACCGATGCAAAACTTCTTTTCCAAACTATTTTCATATTTAATAAAAATATACAGATATTCTAAGAACTTGTTATTAACATTGTACTCACCTAAATCAGTAGTAAGTATCCACATACAGCTTGATACTGAATAAAATGTCGTTGAAATTTATTGTGTATGGTGCATATGCTATTTGATAAATTATTTAATGTATTTTTTGGAAAAATTCGGATATTTTTACTGCTATCATAGTTGCATATTTTCTGTTGATTTCATAACAAATCGTATGGGTTGGCTTCTCTGCTTAAAACCGATCTGGTCAGAAGTCATATTGACTGACCTAAAAAATATTTCTTTATTATGATGTTATTTTTGTATGTGAATAAGGTCTAAAATGACCTAACTCAAAGATGACTGCCACTTTGGTCCTGGCAAACTTAAGTTCAATATCAGGGCAAATCTAGGATTCAAACCCACAATCAGTGGATCCTGGCATGACTAAGGGAGACAATTCTGCATAACCTTCAGGAACTGGAACACCTTGTGCCTATTACAATGTAAGGCTTAACCAAATTGATGTTTAAATACTATTGGTTGTTAGTCACTATATTTCACACAAAACCTCCATTTGTAAACATATCAATCATCACTGAGAATAATTCAAAATAGGGAACACTGAATATTTTGGGGATGATATCTGGATACTCTATCTCAAATAGAACAAACAGTATGTGATACCTTGTACAAAAACAATTTGTACACTCACTCTGAATAAGTACACCTTGAACAAATTCTGTAACCATGGTAACACATTAACAAGTATCAGCAGAATATTCATCAATATTTGGTTTAACAATTTTAACAATTTAACAAGTCTGTTGCACACAACTGGGAAACAATGACATCACAGTCATCTTCCATTACAGAACAAAGGATGGTGAAATGCACTGGAAACTGAACTTGCATACAAAGTTTCTCGTATTTGAAATAGACATGAAAAACAGACCTGTGAATTAATAGAAAAGAAGACCGTGATTAGTTAAGAAAAAAGTGTTCTCTATCTACTTCTCACACAAGGAATTTACTTTCCTGGAATGAATAAGTTTAATGAGTCTCATGGATGAAGATATGATTCATGTCAAAATTAAATGTACTGCCTGAATAGGTTATGACTTAAAACCAGATCAAACTACCACAACATTAACAGAGAATAGTTGATGAATATCATAAACAAACACGACTCAACATATACATCATGTTGTTGGTGATTTTGAATTAGTAATCTTAGCAATATATGAAATATGGTGTAATGATTATGAATTATTAAAACCTGAAATGAGAAATATTAAGTTTAAGAGGAATAAATTAAACATTCGCACAAGACCCATTCTAATCATATGTAACCATGGTAACTAACATCAATCACACTATCATCAGGACGAGTTCTTCATTCACCTTATTATGACCACTTCAAATATACATCTGTGTTATATATACACACATGATTAACATGAGACGCACTGTTCTGGATGACATATAATGGATGTTTCATATGGTGCACTGAAGGACATAATAACACAATGATCCACACAATAATATTCCCTTCAATGGGTATTACACAAAAAGCTGAACTAAATCATTAATAACCTATGAAGCATTCTGAAAAGAGGTTATGGATTAATCAGTGGCAAATACTTGAAAGCTATGTTGAACTATTTCAATTTTGCATGGACGTGTCAATAAAAACTTAAATCTTGGACTTTGCTGTATTCAAATGAGTGTTAAAACATGGATTCAAGAAAACAATGGTTATAGACAAATACACACATGTCCCATTTTGGCTGTCTCATCAAGAGCCTAACAGATATGCCTTCAAATCAGCATTAGATTTCCACAAGCAAAACAAACTTGTTAGTTCATAATTTCAGACATATTTTAAGCACAAAATGAACCTCTCAACTGTGCCCATGTCTAATATTACATTCTGATATTTTCTACACATAATAGATAGCATAAGCAGCAATGTGTAATTAAATGTGACATTGAAAACAACTGTGCAACGGTGGGTTTTGATATTTGAGGCAAAATCTGAAAACCTGCCATAAACAACTGAAAAATAAAACTTGTAACAAAAAAACAAAAAACAGTAAAAGAAATCAGTACAAATATTGGCATGTGCCCCTTACTTGTGTATTCAAGGTCACTATCAGTCAGTCAAATATTCTGGACTTAGTTGCGATCTCCTACAGTAGTACCCTGCATGCAGATCTTTGCAACTGACAGAAACCTATTGCTAAAGCAATGTTTAGTTTCTGCGCTCTTTATTGAAAATTGTCAAAACATACTGACAAGATGTAATCCTTCGTTGTCAAGAGGACCATACTACTGAAAGAACTTTTACCTATTTTGTTTAACATCACATGATGTATGTTGGAAAAAAATCTGTCAAGATCATAGGACAGTTACAATTCTTTACAGTACATGTTTGCCAAAATATCTGCTGAGTTTAACTCACTGTAAAACTACATGAATGATCAAAATTCAGTTAAGAGTTACACGTATACTTAAGAACATAAAATATATATTCTTTACTTGTCTAACATGTCCTCATACCTCATTATCAGTGACCACACAGTACAAATATTCATCTTTTCTCCTGAACTGGATATCTACTCATCCCCGCAAGAATTAAAATTAAGTTTACTATAACCTACTAACAAAATAAACATGCATGATAAAGTTTTGAAAATTCAACAAATAAATAACAGAAAATAAATTAAAGAAATTAAGTGGTGCAATGCTAAGGCTATCAAAAATAGAAAAACAAACATGAAATGTTATTCTCTTCAAATCTTGGAAATAAGCATATGAGGTTGCATGTGAGGATTTTGTAAAACTGACGACGCAGTTCCTGCAAACCGTATTTAAAATCCTTATGGAAGGTATTCACCTAAATTAGTGTATTTCCTTCAAGATATTAGCCTGTACTTTCATAGCAACTTACACAAAAGCAGAGTCTAAGTGTGAGTAATTGGGAGCATAAGACAAATGTAAGCTGAATAACTGACAAAATAAATTACTATTTAACACACAGTGACAGAACACAGAAAGTGACAGTTTAAAAGCAGTTGATCATGAATGAACAAAATGGACACTTGTTAATTTACTTTTACAATTAGATTGATACACAAAGCACTGCAAGCATTTACTGAGACCTACCTAATAAGTAACCTAGAGATCGTTTAAGAGAATCTTATCGGGACTCACAACTTCCAACTAAGTCGGTAGCTCTGTAAAACTACTGTACCATAAGATAATACTTCAGCAATATTTTGATCAGTGCTGAACCATACAGAATTAATACAAACTTATTTCAGCATATGGATATTTTTATGAGATAGATTGTTCAATTAAGCATATCCTATATTCTACAATTTCTTTGTGAATACAACACATCAAACCTCAAAATACCATGAATGAACCGTAACAAAGAAACATGAATGTGATTGCTTGCAATAAACCAAAAGAAATTATTTGTCTAAATCATTGTTTTTCAAACAATATTCTATGGCTAAAATGATTCTATGATTAATTTCAAACTCTTAACTTCAAATCCTGTAGAACAGTTAGGAAATAATGCACAACACTTTGTGTCAAGGCCTGTGGGTAAATATACCTTCAAAAGAAAGCTGGGGATATTCCATTTTGCAAGCATACCACTAGCTACTACCAATGCATATGAGAAAAAGTAATATATATCCATACAGATGAAACATTTCCAAAGGAATGGAATAAATTCTCACATTTTCCCTTAATTTCTCTTCATCTGTTTCCTCCTTGGCTTCATCATTTGCATTTTATCAATCTTGTAAATCCAATATCCCCTACTTTTTCTTAATGGTATATATTGGGCTCATATGAGGGTTTCTTGACTAATGATTAATATATTGACTAGATATTACAGTCCTATATCTGAGTAGCAACTGACTTCGTACACTGGCTTCTTCAGAGCAATGATAGGATGTAAACGTGTGGATTTGTAGCAAAATGCTGTTTTGTACAACTGAAGGTACAGATCTTATCATTTTGTGGTACTTTGATTCTTTGTTGTCTGTTCTATTCTATTTCTGTCTGCAAACACAATTTGGCTAAATTTGTACATACATCAGGAGCAAATGTGGACAGGAATTTCAGCACTAAATAGCTACTGTTTCAGTCTATAGGTTAAAGATGTATGAAACAGTAACTATTTCCTGAACATTGCTCTGAAGAAAGTTTCTGAAAAATGAAAGAAGGCTCCATGCATGCTGAAAACACTGACCCCTCAAAATCAACTGCTCAAAGCTGTTAAATAACTTGCTTGAAAGGTAGAGATCCTGAGAAAGATGAACAATGATTTAAAAGTGTAGGTAAAGGCTATGTTGCAATAATTAAACATGGATATAAATTCAATATGATTTGGAAAGGTTTTCTTGTCAAGGCACCTCAATTATCTGTGTAACATCATTAAAATTAAACATTGGAAAAGAAAAACTTTCGTGTGTTTTCAACAGCTGCTAGCTTGAACTGTCCTGGTCTGCAATTTCTTTGAAGGTCTATTCTTTCTCCGATTGGATAAAGTTTTCTTCAGGAATTCTTTGTGTGCTTGTCGTTTCCTATTTATCTTTTGGCTGTGTAGTTCTTTATGCTGAAATAAAGATCATGTATACTTACTAAACATTAATGTATGATAATGCATGGCTACACAAGGTAATTAGGAGAAACCTCTGAGAATGTGTGCACCACTGTATAAGATCAGAGTACAGAAATATTCATAGGTTGGACAAGTTATTTTGTTTCTAATCTGTGGAGATTCAGATGCCCCAAGATGCCTATTACTTCCATTTCCATTCTAAACACACAGGTTTTTGATGTTGTGCTAATAGGAAAATGGTTATGAGAAGCAACTCAAGTAAGTTGATGTTGGCAATAAAACAACCTCATTGCTAGTTAGACAAGAGCCATCAGAAGATGACATATCCCCAGGCCCCCACATATTTGAAAGAACAAATCATCTGACAGTTACTTAAAGTCAAAATCGTTTCCATGGAAATCATGAGAAATATAAATGCCAACAAGAAGACAAAGTCATCAATATCCCCCTCAATGGCAAAATACTCTTCTTGATTATGTCTATGAGTTATGATTATGTCAAATATTTAGGTGTGTATATAGAAAAGTGGAAGGAGAGTATTGAAAGGTTTTTAAAGTTCTGCTCCAGAAAGGAGCACTATCACCAATTTCAGTCTATGTCAAACATGTTGCCATGGAAATGCCAAAAATATTTTATTCAGAAATCCAAAACTACCAAAAGGCACCAGTACACCACCAGATCTATGTATGTGCCAAGTTTGGTGAAGAAATAGTGAACGGTTTTAGAGTACTGCTCCGGAAAAGACAAATGTGCACGGACGGATGGACGGACGGACGCACGCACGGACAGAGTCCATTTTAATACCCCCCGCAAAACGTGTTGCGGGGGATAATGACAAACTCTGTAAATAGCAAAAGACACCTCTTCAAGATCTGTCTCATATATCTGCCAAGTTTTGCTGAGAGATATTAAGAAGTTTACGAGTTGTGCTCTGGAAACGAAGCCCACCCCTCACTTTTGGGACTAAGTTTGAATCGTTTCCATGGAAACCACGAAAAATTAAAAATGACAAAAATCTGCAAATAGCAAAAGGCACCACTTAAGGTTCTGTTTGATATATCTACCAAGTTTGTTGAAAAATATTGAACGGTTTTTGAGTTATGCTCTGGAAACGAAGCCCACCCACCCCTTTAAGACTAAGTCCAAAACATTTCCATGGAAACCGAGAAAAATAAAAACGACAAAAATCTGTAAATAGCAAAAGGCAACGCCGTAGGTTCTGTTTGTGATATATCTACCAATTTCTGTTGAAAAATATCAAACGGTTTTGGAGTTATGCTCTGGAAACAAAATGATTGGACAGACAGACGGACGAGGCGTCGACTATATCCCCCTGCATTACATGCCGGGGGGATAAAAATATAAACGACAAAAAATCTGTAAATAGCAAAAGGCACCACTTTGGCATCTGTCTCATATATCTGCCAAGTTTTGCTGAAAGATATTAAGAAGTTTTCGAGTTGTGCTCCGGAAACGAAACCCACCCTTCCCTTTTGGGACTAAGTGAGAAAACTATAAATGCCAAAAATCTGTAAATAGCAAAAGGCACCACCTTAGGTTCTGTTTGATATATCTACCAATTTTTTGTTGAAACATATTGAACGTTTTTTTGGTTATGCTCCGGAAACAAAATGATTATGGACGGACGAGGCGTCGACTATATCCCCCCGCATAAAAAGATTGAATTTTTTTTAAAATTCACTGACGGAAACAAAATCAATTCATAGAAGAAACAAAATATTTAATTCCTTACCACACTTTTACCAAAGTTGTCAAGTTCTGGAAACTCGTCCTTCTTGAATTCATATCTATCTCCAATCTTCCCATCAGTAGTCAAGCTCGTCTCAGTATCACTGTAAGAACAAAACAAAGTCATTTGTAGCATGATTTTGGAGACCTTTCCTTATTACAAAACATTCAAAGGACCAAATCAAATTTGTTAGTTTTGTGTCCCATTAAATGTTACAAAAATATTAGTGCACTGAAGTGGATATCCATAGATTTTCTTTACTATGGCAAGACACAAGGTTTTTTATCGTATAATCTGTAACTACAATCTGACAGAAAATGTCATTCTCAATTCTTAAGCTACAACACATTAACAATGGTGATTGTTTTATTGTTTTGTACAGTTGACATGAAGAATAATGTTATAGTTATTTAGCTGGGAGTATGGGCTATGTACAACCAAAGGGGGGTAACTCAATGTTAGCCACTGTCACCAGCTGGCCAGTATAGTTGTTTTCATGGTAACCACGGTAGATGGGGTTTAACTTAATCTCATTTCTAAACCTAAAACTTATGAAAAAACAACTAGTGTCTACATCTGGTTAACCTTAGTTTTCAAGATCTACATGCTCTTAACTGAGCATATACATTAAATCAAGTATATTTAACTGGGTATATACATTAAATCTAGTATAGACTCAATTAATTAAGCACTGGTAGAACATTTTCATGTTCGTATAGCTGAGCTAAACTTGTCCATAAAAACTGACAAAACATACCTTGGATAACCATGGTAAAATGGACAGAGTGAACCTTTGAAACAAAGGCCTTCTTCCCAAAATCTGCAAGTGATGCTGGATAAGTCATGGGAAAATTTGCAGTCAGATCGTCGACAATTACCCTCCAGGAAAAAACTGCAGGGTTTGCGCTTGATTGAATCTAAAATAGAAAGTTTAAATGTTGATTGCTTTTATTAATACTACAAAGAAAACTGTAACGTATTACATCTGAGACAATTTATGCTATACTCCACCCAAAAAAATTATGCTGTCGATTTGGAAAGCGTAATAGTTTGACTTTTGATATTTGTTAAAAAGATTAAACAGCACATCATGCCAGGACTCAAGACTGCATGTTATGAGGCTATTGAGATGGTCTGTGGAGGAACGTCTCAATATCAGGCTGCGCATTTCCACTCCCACCCAAACACCATTTCAGAGGGAATCAGAACAATAATGACATGCACGCATCATAACATTCCATTCCTGGACTTAGGGTATCCACCCAAACACAGTTACAGGATAAGATCATGTCGTCCTGCAACATTACTGATTTACTGCTAAAGCTGTTTAGAACCATACACTCACTCATTCTCTAAACATACCTCTCCTCAGCTTCAGTTTATGTGATTTCCTTTTGGCATTCCTTCCACTGAGGGCCTTTTTCTCAAGCCACTGCTTCTCAAGATCTGACGAGTACACAGCCTGGTGTGGGATTGGCATCAGACCAGACACTTCATAACTCTGTCAATTACAAACAACATACTGGCCATCAAAAGAAGAATTGACCAGAAGCTGATAATAAAATGTCGTTTATAATTCTTAATGCATAATGCTGAGTCAGTGTGTGTTTGGGTCACATTGTAGATGTTAACTTTAACTGTAATACTATTTCTGTCTGCGACCATTGTGACCAAACCCTTCCAGTTTACTTGACCAAACATATATAACTTGACATTATTTTCTGCATATTTTACCCTTAACACATAGATTAGCATCAGTTTATCTAAATGGAATGTTCAAAACAATTTGACTACTATTTACCAACAATCATATGCATATACCAGCATTTAAGTGTTAAGAATTTTCCAAAGAACAATGCAAACCCATTCTTACCTGTGGGCCAGAGCAAACATCAGATGCACTTAATATGTAGGAATCATATTCCGGATAATTTTCCAAGTAATATAAGTAGAGTTCATCGGTTTTGTCAGACTCCTCTTTTGACTTGTTTTCTTCATCGTTTGTTGTGACCTCTGAACTGCAGAGTGTCTCATCAACAGCACATGGCAAGTACAAAGTCTCATTATCAACACTGAAAGGATGCAAGTCCATTTCATATCCTGCACTCCATATGTCATGATAGTGTTGCACATCTGACAAATGCATTTCTTTGATCTTCTGACCATCCCATTTAGAATCATCTGGGACTTTTGAGTCCACTCCTTGACTTTGTTTTGTTATTTTCCTGCTCTTGTCTGCTTTCTTTTCACTGTACAAGTCTCTTAGACTCGTACATAACTGCAGTACAGATTCGTCCTCCACAGATGGACCTACACTTTTGGAAAGTGAAAGGTTCTTGACGCTGTCTGTTTCAGCAATCTCAGGCTCAGCAACTGCTAGGTAGCTTGAACTTTGATCTACGACGTCCGGTTCCAGATTTTCTTCTAAGACGGAACCAACAACAATTTCTTCAATGAATTCAGTTCGACTGTTTTTGGCTTGTTCACAATGTTGCTGTCTAAATCTCTCGTAGTCAATATCTGATTCATCTAGACTTCCCCCAGTTTGAATATATTTGTCCAAATCTTTTTGTATTTTAAATTTGGGCCGAAAGTTGCTTTCTTCTTCTTCTCCTGGACTAAGAAACTGTTGATATGGAGTTCCACTGTTGTCTGACATTCCACCAAAGAGATCCTTGGGCTGGAACTCGACATCTTCATCTGGAGTTGCAACAGGGGTTTGGATAGGACGAAAGTGAGTTTTAGCAGAGAAATACAAATGTTCAACAGGAGATTCAATACTAGCTAGACCAGGTGGATGGAGATCATCTTCCCGAACCATTGACACTAATGACTTATAGCGGAGATTTGGAGCACTTCTGACATGATGCAATTGCTTTGGAACAACACCCTGGAAAGCAGAATTTTCAGATGGAATCAATTCATAACTTATGTCTAGATTTGGTTTTGACATGTCCTGGAAAGGGTTGTCTGCCATGCTTTGTAAGTCACTCTCCGAAACGCTTCTTTCATATCGTGGACCCTTTCCTATTCCATTGATCTCTTCAAGAAACTGAAGCCCTAACACTGCATCTTCTTCATTGATGATTTCTGAAAGGAAGACTTCATCATCGTTGTTCCATTCTTCTTCCTCTTCAACCTTGTCAGGAGCATAGACAGAAAGACTAAGGATACTGTTCCAGGTGCAAGTATTTGTATCAGTGTTTCTTGCACACATATCAGCCATTTTCTTCTGACTGTTGACATCCCAAAGTTGCCACAGCTCACCTTTCAAAGTTGGAGACCTAACTGACAAATTTACAGGACTTCGACTCATTGCTGATGACCAAATATGTTTCTTTTGACTTAATACTGCGTCCCATGTGAGTTCAGAAGAGCGTTCTAAGCTCCCAAATGTAAAAGTATCTCCATAGTCATGTAGCAATATCTTGCTTTGCCAGCATGACCCGCCAGATCCAGATAGAGGGGAGAGATGAACAAAATATGAAGAGGAACATTCATTTTGTAGACTAACTTCTCCAGAATCAAGCAGATCTAGGACATAACTGTGTTCAACCAAGCCTGGTTCTGCCAACAGAACTGATCCACCAGAACTTTCTCCTACAGAACTGAAAGAATTAAAGAGATCAGAAGGAAAACAGGCACTTTCATCTCTCTCATCTTCAGAGGTAGAATCAGTAAATTTTGACTGAGGCTCAAGCTGACTTGAAGACACTGATGTCGATTTTTCTTCTGTTTCTGTTTCAGAATCTTGTTTCTCCTCCGTGTTTGATGATGATCCTAGAGGATTTCCATTGGATGTGAAAAGCATTTGGGAACATATTTCTGGTGCCATACAATATACAATCTTCCTCTTCGGCTCCATAAAGAAACAGATCATCAGCACAAAAATCGAATTCTGGTTTTGCCTCTGAATAGTCAAGTTGTTGAACCTCGCTTTTTTCCATGCTCTCCAGAAGATCCTGTCTAGAAGATTCAAACAGACTCTCCAACCTACTCCCTTTCAAGCTACTAGCAGTACTTGTGGTCATCTGGCCTGTGTCATCATCTTCTCCATAGTTCATCAGGAGCAGCATGTCAGGGAATGGACTGCTGTGTCGGCTCATGTCAAAGACGAAGGATGTCTCTGTAACGTCACTGAAATAACCTTTTTCCACACTAGAGACAGTGCTACTGGTATCACTGGCTGGGACAAGGCAGTCAGGGTCTGTACCGGGGAAAAGACTTGGTAATGTAAGTGGCAAGGCACTGGTGTTAAAGTCAACCTTGGACTTCCCATCTACATTGGTGGCAAAGTTAGCAAATTCGTCAAAAGGAAATAAAACATTTGGGGAAGTAGGGGCTAGGTCGTCGTTATACCAAGCTGGGGTTTCATCAGTTTCCTTTACGGCTTCATCGGTTTCTTCAACAATTCGTTCTTCTTGATCCTTAACCACTTCTTTTGCTTCTTTACCTTTTTCTTCGGACAAACACTCTACTCCTTCATTATTGATAGCCTTCTCTTGCTCTCCACTAAACTGCAAATCCTCATTCAGCTCAACCACATCAGACACTGCTTCCTGTGGATGGCTCAACAAAATCTCCAAAACATCTTCTTTTGGAACGTCCTTGTTTGGATCAAAAACATCTTCCAATAAAATATAATCTGTTGTGGTTTTCTTCAAAGACAGAATAGTGTTCCACTCAAACTGTTCACCAAAATTCAGCATTGGTGGATAGCTGTGCCTTTTGTAAAGCCGTTTTGTCTGGGACACTGGTGTGTAGAAAATATGCTCCAGGGGCTGTGTGTACCAATCATCATTTTCAGTGAATTCTGGACTCTGACTGTCTTCTCTAAACCATTCTGTGAAGCATCCTTCCGTGAACCCTTCTGCTGGAAAATAGGCCCACATTGGCAGGTCTGTTGGAGCCTGAACATGTTTCCTGTCTGATAATAGCATTTCTTTCAACATCTGCTCAACCATACTGCAGTATTTCTCTTCTTCTGTTTCTTCAGGATTGGCTTGTTTCTCAGTATCTACTTTTCCATTTTCTTTCTTCATGTGCCCTGGTGGTGGCCAGCTTAGAAAACGAACTGCCTTGCTCTGTGCCTCAATCTCTTTCTTCCCCTTCATATTTTTCTTTCTTCCTCCTGCACTAGGAGACATCTTTTGACTGGAATCTCCTCTTCCTGATCGCCTCCTTCTTTCAGGTGCTGATGGTGAATTTGTGGATGACTTCGAATCCACCGGAGATTTCTCTACAGTTTTGACTTCTTGTGTGAAAGCCTCTGCATGTTCAGGAGATACATTCCGAGGAGATCCTTCTTTACTCTCAGATGTTTCCCCAGCAAGAGATCCACTTTTCCTGTTTTTCCGCCAAATATTGTCATCAGATGACGGGGATAGTTGTGGTGGGGTGCCATCACCAGGAAGAGCTGGAAATGCTGCATAGTACCTACAAAACAAAGGAAATGTTTTAACAATTACTTCACATCACTAACTTAATGTTTAACATATAATCATGTAAAATGTATGTAATTGGTCACATTTTTTAAACATTGTTAACATTCTATGCAATGGTTTGGGCCAAATTGTCTATAACAGTATTTTAACAAGCATATCCCCAAGAGTGTTGGTATTATACTAAGCATGGTAAGTGAAATGTAGAAACCAAAGGCACACAGAAAAAAGTGTGTGTTACAAATGCATTTCCAGGGACTATACAGATTTTTGGACTCTAAATTCAAGCAGCTTTTGTGCACTTTCAAAGAAAAACATTATTTTTCAAGGACCGCTTTTACTCAAAATGAAAATCAAGATGAGAGCCACATTAGCATGCAACATCAATGTCACTACACAGTGTCGCATACACATTGACACATTTTGAGCTTTTCACACAAATAGTTGGCTTTCCTTTCATAAACAAGAGTCATCAGAATATGACAAATCCCCCGGCTCCCACAAATTTGAAAGAACAAATCATCTGACAGTTACTTACACTTAAAGTCCAACTAAGTACATATCATTCCCGTGGAAATCAGGAAAAATATAAAAGCCTAAAATCTGTAATGAGCAAAGGCACAACCTTGGGATCTGCCTCATATATCCGAGATTTTTAAGTTATGTTCCAGAAATGAAGCCCACTCCTCCCTTTTGAGACTAAGTCCGAATTATTGCCATGGAAATTAGGATAAATATAAATGCCCCAAATCTGCAAATAGCAAAAGGCACCCCTTTGGGATCTGCTTCATATATCTAAGAAGTTTTGTTGAAAGATATTGAAAGGTTTTCGGGTTGTGCTCCGGAAACGAAGCCCACCCCTACCTTTTGAGACTAAGTCCAAATTGTTTCCATGAAAACCAAGAAAAATAAAAATGCAGATGGACAGAAGGACGAGACGTCGAATATAACATCTATAAATCCTGGGTGTTCACAGACCAAGTATAATTAACATAAATTCAAATAAATCAAATGTGAAATTGGAACAGCATGACATGTGTACAAGGGGACACAACTCTAGTCATTCACAGTTCATTCAGTTTCATCATAAAACACAGGTTAGATGTAAAGTTAATGCAATTTCTCCAGAGTTCTTGAAAGGTATACAAGCAATGTGGTTCATTTGTTAATTCATTCAACATGATTGTTCAGTGGCCTGAATGTTGTCTTCACATTTTGTCTGTTGTCATTTTACTACTTCAAATGGGATAACTTCAGGTCCTCTAAATCTACAAACATATGTCTTGCACAACTTGTTAAGTCAATATCAAGAAAATATATTTTAAACGGGCTGTTCAAAAGAATTATTTTTCAAAATATATATTAACAACTCTAGAAAAATCCATAATAGAACATCAAAACAATCGGCAGTATTCAATAGTATAAGTATTACATACTTAAAAACAATGAAAAACTTATAAAGATGGTCATTCCTCATACATTAATCATATTAACTGATGAGAGGCAACTAACTATACATGATTTAGCGCAGAAGAAAAGACACTTAACATGCTCAACAATTGAATACTAAAATATCAAACATATAATTAAGAAATACAGTTTGCTCTACCCCCATGTATAGTCTAATAAAGTACAGTTTTGCCCTTAACTACAACAGTTAAAGCATCTCAGATGATGGATGCATTGTGGGACTGGACAAGGCTTAATTAGGGAACATTGCTGTGTTGCTGATTAATTGTGAGTAGAGCTTAAAAAATTTTTCCATCAAAAAGGTTAAACGTAATGTTTCCACCAGTGAAAGCTGGGTAAAGCAACTGCAAACCAAGATGCTACTGTAGGGAACTGCATTCCTCAATGACAACTGACATTCATTGTGATGTCAGTTTACCAAAGGTATATTTGATTACGAGGGGGCAGACTAGAATGGCATAGTGACGTCAATACATTGCAACATAATGCAAAAGTGTACTTTATCGCCTGATAAAGTACTGTCGGTGCCTTTGATCTTTTAGCTTAAGCTTTTTAGAATACTATTAACCAACATGGTGTACTAAGCTAACATATAATATAAATAAATAATTATTACCTTTCAGCAGGGTCTTGGAACTCTTTGACTTGAAACTTTGACTCGTCTTTAGTATTTATAGCAAGAGGAGAAAAACAACCTGAAAAGAAAAACAAACCACATTGAAACAAAATCAACCAATTAGGAAGAAATAATAAGCCATGGGTTTCTCTGACTCATTTATTTACAGACCGCCGCCATATAGCTGGAATATTGCTGAGTGTGGCGTAAAACTAAACTCACTCACTCCAAGAATATTCATATCATTGTTATGAGAAGGAGTGAGTGAGTTTAGTTTTACGCCGCACTCAGCAATATTCCAGCTATATGGCGGCGATCTGTAAATAATCGAGTCTGGACCAGACAATCCAGTGATCAACAGCATGAGCATCGATCTGCGCAATTGGGAACCGATGACATGTGTCAACCAAGTCAGCGAGCCTGACCACCCGATCCCGTTAGTCGCTTCTTACGACAAGCATGGGTTACTGAAGATCAATATTCTAACCCGGACCATCACAGGTTTTATACCAAAGAATGTTTTATATCAACAATTTGATATGTAGAAACATGAAATGAGAGATTATTCATTCTCAATATATAAGTAAAAGATCTTTTCGTTTAAGAAACTTTGAGAACAACTGTAAAGACTTCTGTGATATTTTTTTTAAACCCAAATATCACCTAACCTGGCATTAAGCCATATCAGACAAGTCACGTCACTTTAAATTTTGTAGACATTAACTTCAGGCGCAAGGACAGCCTCTCACAGGTTAGTAAGAAACTGAAAACATTGAAGAACTAGATATTTTCTCACAAAATCTAGTTTTGTTACTGTTACAGCAATGGTGTCTACCCCTGTAAAAGAACATGGACCTACCCTTGTTCATATACTTTCAGACTCAAACAAACAAGTGTTCTTCTGCTAAGAGACATGATTAGTGCACACTCACCCTGACTGCTCTTTGTCTCCTTTAGTCTGATGAACAGTTCTTCGACCAAACTTTCGATATCATTATCCTGAAAATAAATTAAGAATGGCATTGAACATTTCACCTTTGATCACTTTGGAAAAACAGAATAGATACAAAGAAAAACTACCTAAAATGACTGGGTGACAAAATTATAGCATAAAATAAATCTCAACCAGCCACACTGTAAATCAGTGTAAATGTTTGCTATGCTTCTGACTAATTTCTTATGATGTTTTTTGTTAAAATACATGCAACATGTCATAAGACTGAACAGAATCTTCTCTACATAGCTATTCACTTTTCAGCAGATACAGATGGGTTTGGCCACGAAAATCACTGTCTCTTGAACAGCAAAAGCGCCAAAATAATTGTCAGAATCAAAACACACCTCATCAGACACGGACAAGAGACACTCTACGGCAGCATTTTTCCGCCTTTCCTCCCTCACTGACAGGCTTCTTCTTAACATCCCTCCTTTCTTTAGCCTTCTTGGAATCTTTCTTTATATCCCAAAATTCATCTCGGTCAGTGCTATCAATGTCTGCCATATCCTGCTGCAGCAGACTGATGACATAACGGGTGTAAATGACAGAATCAATTTTGCGGAGTTCCAACTGGTGACCTAACCAGGTCAATACAGAGTCCGATAAAGGCATTGCTGCCTCCAAGGACATTCTGTGTTCAGGGTACTTCATGAAGCCTGTCTAACAACTAGGCTCCTGTTCCCTTATCATCAAGTATGCCATGCCAAGTTTCATCAAGACCAAGTTAAAGGTACCACCTTGCTGGGTAAACATTGTGAGAAAGGTTTTTAATACTGCTGTGCCAAAAGCCAATCCATCTTTACTTGTTTTTCATCACTCTTGGAAACTTCCCCAGAGCGGCTCAAGCTGAAAGACTGAAAAACAGGATAAACAAAATAAATATACATATGCACATTTAAACATGGAAAGAGAAGAAAAGTATCTGTCTAGTATCTACCTATTTTACACAAAGAACATGTCAAACATTGGCCTGCAACTACTCTGCCTTTATATTCATGCTATGTATACACTGTTTTTTACACACAGGTGATTCAGTAATTCAAATTTGCATGAAAGTCAAAGGGTGGTACATTTAAGTGGTACCTGCATTTAAATACTTTTGGATTAAATCTCTAGGCTTAAATTAAATATTGTATGACATCCTATAGTGGTACATTTGATGTACACACAGTGTTCACGAATGGTGTTTCAAAGTAACAGGACATTGCGTCCTGTAAGTTTCAGAGGTCTGTCTGACCCACTGAAAATTCACAGGACCCATAGAATAAAAATTAAACACACATTTCAGATTTAACACTTCTTATAAAGTGGCACTGACATTATTAACAAGGGCCAGACGATTCGCGTGATAATTTGTAAACAGCAAACAAGTGTGATGTGTCACATACGACAACTTTAGTCAAAGTCATTGTGAAATATACAGTCGGACACTGGGGCCGCAGGTGGTGTTGACTTCCACGGGACCACCGCATGAATCTGCCGGATTTGTCAAGAGGGCCAGACGCTATTCGCGGAACACTGTACACACTCTTGTCTAACACCTTGCTGACTACATGCATTGCAACACTGCATTACACATTAGTACAGAATAATGATATGCCCAAGATTGAAATTGCGTGTGATGATGTTAGAAACATAATGGAGACAGCACTGACTAAAGACACTCATATCGTTTACTGCAGCTAACTTGGGCTGGCTAAGAAGATTGATAATTGAAAGTGGCATCAATTGGAAGAATTAGTACTGATTACTAATATGAGAACTTTGTCACCAATAATATCTTATATAAACTATTGTGATGAAACATAACTTTATTTTACACACAAAATGCACGAAGAGTTACGTCTTTACATATGGGGTGCTTCCACATTATGTTCAGAATGGAGTTTTTTAAATTTTAGATTTCTTTAAGACTATTTTATCAAAAGCGCATTTCTCTGGTATTTATCAATAATTCATTAATCTTTCTATATGATATTCATCGATAGCCTGCTGTGTTGGTACCAATACTGCTCTAAGTTTATTTGAGCGCTACATACTAAACATCACGATGAACTATCAGCATTAGATGTGCTTGTACTGACTTTTTATCAATGTTTAAGACACAAAACACTCCAAGAGAAGATGGTACGTAACCAATGTGCAAAATTTCAAGAGTGACTGTAAATGTGTCCAACCAATATATGTGCATTGTTTGAATGGTGTGAACTGTATTTTATAATATTAGACTAAATGTCAACAAGACATAGAACAAACAATGTGCAACTTCAAACTTAAAGAGAACAGCGAATTCCAAAGTAAACAAGACAAACTGCCTCTGGAATTAAGGGTTTTTGTATATGCAAAAGAATTTTAGTCCACGATTCTTTTTCCTTTTCATGGCTGACTGATACAGACTTAGATCATGTAGATGAACATTGATGTCATCATATAAATCCAATATAGAGTGTGGAATGAAAAGTGGACTGAAAGCATATGTGCATAGTGAGTGTAAAGTGTTCACAATAATATCTCACATATATAATAAGCATTTGAATTGACAAAGTTGTGTTGGGGTGTGTTGTTTGTATATCAGTTCTGTCTGCTTAGCAACATTTGCCACACCCATCTCTTCTTTTATGTTATGTGTCTATTTCTGCCTTAGTTTTTGCATGCAGATTTCACATTTGAGTTAATACTAGTCCATTGCAAGCATCATTTACTCGCACAGGTACTGGTGTAGAAAATTCTTTGAATATAAGCTTCCAAAATAAGTTCGTCATGTGACTTATTGCAAATAATGACAAAGCAGTTCAGTCATAAGCAGTGCAGACTACAACTAGTGTTTGTTTTTTTTAAAAGCCAGACCACATAATTAGCAATAGTGCTACTAGGTTAACCACTGCGCATATTCATTGAAATTATTGTCGGATTTTTTCACAAAATCTTTTCTTGGGATTCATGACATACCACAAGTTCCTGGCTCGAAGCCGAGGTATGACGACTGTCTGAAGCTTCCGTAAAGGAGAGGTGAAGGTCACTCTCCTGACGCAAGCTATGCTACGCTCAGTTACTAAATACATCTTACTTCCTAGATACCACTCATTTTATCAATCCAACGGGAACACGCATACGTGACAAAACATTATGATAACACGTCGGGTTTTTTCCTTGAATTAGTTCAGGCACATTTGCTATTCCCTATCGAGGGGTGGCGATCATGTCATGAGTTTCGTGCCTCACACATGCAGCTGAACTTTTCAAAATAAGTAATGATTTTCACAAAATGCGTAGCTTAGATATACAGAGACGTATTCAATGTATGAAAGATACAAAGTGCATACTGTAACACTTACTTACCTCGAACTGAAGCTTCGACGATTGTGTCGTCTGACAGAATTTCTCTTCTGCAACTGTCAAAACCAAAGCCATGGCTAGGGTGCTAGTTTAACGGCATTAAAGCCGTGTCTCCCATGATGCGTCCATTCAAAGATCTGAATCTAGTAAAGCAAACACTTCATCTTCGGTTCCTACAGCTCTTAAAATTCATCAGGTCGAAAACAATCGATGAAAATCACACGAAATTGACCTAAGTACGAAGCTGAGACAAACTCAGCTGACCTTTGGAATGAAGGTGAGGTAATTTCCGGATGTTTCTCCGAGGCTAGAAATAGGTCCGCATACTTTGTTCCTTTACAGCCATAATTTCTCATTTTCAAACCATGTCGTTGTAGGAATTGTTTTGACAATATACATTAATGCTAACAGGTAGCGATATTGGGACTATTATCCCTACTCATATTTCACTAGGGTCGCGTAGTAATCAAGTACCTGGCACCTCTCTGGTGATATGGCAACGGGAACTATTTTCGAGAGCGAACAAATTTACATTTCGCAGGCGCGAAATAATATCGGTCGTCTGGGTTTGATTTGAAATGCGAGGCAGCATTACTGTATTTATAAATGGTTGTTCGTGATATTTCTATCAACCTCACTTCGTGTTACTTTAATCATACCTATATTAGAACTACATACATGTATTCGACACTGAATGACATTTTTCCATAGATCTGGAAGATATGTTTTGCCCCAGTTATGGAGACGCCCTTATCTGCTACACAATGGATATGCTTTAGTCATCGCGACCGAGGAATATTCTTTTTCATAAAACAAATTTAAAAACGTGTTACATCTTGCTGACGAACCAACGGTTTTCCCCCCGAATGTATTTTTATTCAATTCGGCATACGAAACACATTACCCTGTGGTGCCGACCATCTTTTTTGCTGGGTCTTTTCAGCAGGGATCAATATTGTCCACGGAAATGCCGAAAATACCCATTTGTCCCCGGCGGTGGGGTAGTCTAATGGTTAAAGTGATCGCTCGTCACACTGAAGACCCGAGTTCGATTGCCCGCCCACATGGGTACAATTAGTCTGTCATACAGACCCAGAAGCAAATATAGCCAAGAAATCCCACGCAAGTCTAGAAAATGTGGCAAGTCTAGATTTCCACAGCTTCAGGGTCTCTGAAAAGAAAAGAAAAAGTCTCGGGGCTCCTTTTTATTATATAATATATATATTTAATTTTATTTTCACTATGAGCCTTAATTTTCCTGTAAAATATGTTCATTTCAGAGACTAGTTGTTAGTCTAGGGTACAATGTGTGTTAGCCCATTTGTGGTGTCCCCGCCTGGGATTTTTCTGGAATATATCGCTAAAAGCGGCGTAAAACTATATTCACTCCAAATATATATACATTATACCCACCACCCCCACACACCGCGAAATACTTCATAACAAAGGAAAAAGACTTATCATTGTTGGATTTCAACATACTGATCATATTTAAAATGTCTTAATAACCCCCCAAAAGATGCCCCGTGCCATGGAACTAATTACTAGTGGTCGGATTTTGAAAAAAATAAAGGGGCTTAGTCGTTAACCGGGTATATATTCCAAATTATCTGAAATATTTAAGAATAAATGTGTATATCTCTGTCTTTAAACTCTGACCGAAAGAGATATTGTTTCTGCTAATTTTCAGATCATGTGTGAGACCACGTCATAAGCACAGGCCCTCGTGTCTTTGCGAGGATTAAAAATGTTAGGAAAAATATAAAACACAGCGATCGGCAAAGCAGGCGGGTGGGGTACACCGAAGTGTTCGGCCTTGTCATAATGTATTGTATTGTGTAGCATTTCGAGTCGGGGGTCATCTCAAAACTATCATTTTTTAATCTTTAATCTTCGCAAAGACACGAGGGCCTGTGGTCATAAGGACATTATGATGTTTCTATTTTCAGGACATTCATGAATAAATCACCGTCTCTGAATAAAATGATTCATTGTGGAATACAACCAGTTGATCAATAGTATATGTTTACAAAATAAAACCACGAGGAAACAGGGAC